TATTTTTTATAAAAATAGAAAACGATCTAGTCAAAATTAAGTGTTTGACATATATATTATGATTTTTTAAAAAAATATGAGATTAACATTTATATCTTCTTATTATTTTTTAATAATAAATGAACCCCTAAAAATAAAACTTATAAAAAGTATATATTATTCATCTAATAATTATTTTTGTGAATTAATTATTACAAAATATATAATTAAACTTGATGTGTTATTTAAAATATTATTTTAATTTTATAAGGATTTTAAGTTTATTTTATCTATCTTGTTATAATTTTATTTTAAATTCTCAAATATATTTAGATACTCATAATTCATAAATAGCCATTTACCTGAAAAGAATTAATAAGCTAAACTTGGATGCAAATATCTGGAAATGAATGCAAATATTTTGAAAAAAATTCATCCATGCACAAAAAGCATGATTGACATGTTTGCGGTTTTGACGAGTAAAGTACAGTTTAAAACCTTCACTGTTATCTACTAACTAATTTATGATTTTTTTTAAAGAAGGATCTCAAATAATTCTCGATCATTGTAAATACTAATGTGGCAAATCAAAATTACTTGTCATATTTTTTTAATGATAAGTTTACAAAATTAATATGATATGTTAATAAAAAGACTTTAATTAGTTAAAGATATATACCATAAAAATTCCTATCGCGTGAAAAAAGAAAAAGACGAGTAGGAGTATGAGAAAAAGATGAAGAATGTCCATTAAGCTTCAAAAAGATTTAAAAAACGCAGGAAATAAAAGTTTATAAAAAGATATAGAAAATCATCAGTACAGTACGTACGAAACATTATTTTTTTCTCTGTTTTTATGATAATATATATATATATATATATATATTATAATAATAATAATTCATAATAATTACTTCTTTAATTCTATATATAATTACAATGAAACTTAATATAAATTCTATATGTTGGAATTTTTAATTCCTCTAAACCTTTTGGTGATAACTATCACCTACAAGTCAAGATCCATCATACCAAATCATAAAGAAATAATTACATAAAGGTGGAGGCATACCTGTCTCCATTGCAGCGGAATAACTTTGATCTTGTCTCTTGGGGTTTGTAGTCTTCCTCAGTCAAATCACTCTAAAACTGAATTCCTTAGTGTGGCATCTCTCTCTTGATGGGGAAAAGAAACTAGGGTTGTCATTTGAAGTCTTGGAGACCATAACCCTTATAGTGTTTTTATCTTTATTATTGGGCCAATAAGCTCCCATTATACCTAGTTGGCCCAACACCGGTATACACTCATTCAGCCCATACTCATTTAGGAATCTATTTAGGAATATTTAACCGATCATTTTAATTTACCCAATATATATAAATAGCACAATATAATTATTAATATAATATGTGACCCACAATGATTATTAGAAAATATAATTTCCTAACAATCTTCCACTTGGGCCACATATTAACTTGAGATAATTATATCGTATATCTTTAGTGCGCAACTGTATGCTATTTTTCTTTAGATTCCTCCTTAGATACAATCTGGTTCACCTCCTATATCAATATGAGATCATGGCGGCTTTTGTCACTTTCAAGCGTAACTAAACCTTCCATGGTCATCGCACCAATATATTCAATGACATAGATCAAGTATGGATGAGTGGCATGAAAATTACATGCAATGTGATCTTACCATGCCTATTTTCAACAGGTCCTACTTTAATCTTTATGAGATCAATCCTAAATTTTCTGCATACACAAAGCAGAAACACAAGCACAAAACATAATACATTCAGAGGGAAAATAACATTGAATTCTTTATTCTGCAGAAAACAAACATAAGAATATTCATTTATTTATTTACATAGAACACCAACATAAAAAACTCCCACTAAACCGTAGTGTCATCGAACAAAACAACACCCATATGAGCAGTATGCTCGTGAAAGACCTTAGGCACTAAGCCTTTAGTAAGCGGATCCGCAAGCATGGAGTTCGTCCCTATATGTTCTATGGAAATCTGACCACTCTGAACTCTTTCTTTAACAACCAGAAACTTTATATCGATGTGCTTCGATTTTGAAGAGCTTCTGTTGTTGTTGGAGTACAACACTGCTGACCTGTTGTCACAATAAATCTTCAGTGGCCTTTCAACACCACTCACTATATGCAGCCCTATGACAAAGTTTCGCAGCCATACCCCATGGTTGGATGCCTCAAAACAAGCTACAAATTCAGCGGCCATAGTAGAGGAAGCTACGAGTGTCTGTTTAACACTCTTCCAAGAAATAGCTCCTCCAGCCAACATGTAGACATAACCTGACGTGGATCTTTTACTATCTTGGCATCCAGCAAAATCAGAGTCAGTATATTCGACGATCTCTAATTGATCTGACCTCCGATATGTAAGCATATAATCTTTTGTTCTCTTCAAATACTGCATAACCCTCTTGGCTGCTTTCCAATGATCCATTCCTGGATTGCTCAAGTATCTTCCTAACACTCCCACTATAAATGCTATATCAGGGCGAGTACAAACCTGGGCATACATAAGGCTTCCTACTGCCGAACCATAAGATACCTTTGTCATTTCTATCATCTCAAGCTTACCTTTAGGGCATTGGGCGAGACTAAACTTGTCTCCCCTAGATATGGGCGTAGCTCCTGACGAACAATCCTCCATGCCAAATCTATCCAAAATCTTTTCAATGTAGGCCTTTTGTGATAACCGTAGGATACCTTGAGCGCGATCTCGAAGTATCTGTATTCCTAAGACAAAAGATGCATCACCAAGGTCCTTCATCTCAAAAATTTTAGTGAGAAGTTTCTTGGTTTCATGCAATAAGCCTATATCGCTACTGGCAAGTAAGATATCATCAACATATAGTATCAGGAATATGAATTTACTCCCACTGAACTTGTGATACACACAATCTTCCACTAAGTTCACCTCAAAGCCATAGGAGATAATAACCTGATGGAATTTGTGATACCATTGACGAGAAGCTTGCTTAAGGTCATAGATGGACTTTTTCAATTTGCAAACCATAGACTTTGAATCTCCCAATACAAAGTTTTCTGGTTGCACCATATAAATTGTCTCATCAATGTTACCATTGAGAAACGATGTCTTTACGTCCATTTGATGTAGCTCCAAATCCAAATGAGCCACAAGCACCATTATTGTCCTAAAAGAGTCTTTCGTAGAAACTAGAGAGAAAGTCTCTTTATAGTCTATGCCTTCTTTCTGAGTGAAACCTCTAGCAACTAGACGTGCCTTATATCTTTCGATGTTTCCATTTGAATCCCTTTTGGTTTTAAATATCCATTTACAACCAATGGGTTTCACACCTTTAGGCAACTCAATAAGATCCCAAACGTCGTTGTCTTTCATAGATTACATTTCATCTTTCATGGCATCAATCCTTTTACGAGCATTAGAGCTTTCTAAGACTTGTTGGAAGTTGATTGGATCATCTTCCTTCAAGCTTAAAATATTTTCATGCTCTTGAAGAAACACAATATAATCATCTGAAATTGCATTTCTGCTTTCTCTAGTGGATCTCCTTAATGGCACTTCTTGAGTTTGTTCTATAGGTGGCAAAGGGGGTGGTTCATTATTGTCTTGACCCAAAGCAATGTCAGGGACCAAAGCTTGTTCCATAACAATGTCATGAACAGGGACCTGATCATTAATTGATTGTTCCGTGATTGCATCTTGAATGATGACAATATTAGGAAGAGAAATATAATTTTCTTCCTCATCAAAGACAACATTCCTTATTTTATCTTCCCCTCCAAACTCAACATCCTCAAGGAATTTGGCATTTCCCGTCTCAAAAAAGGATCTTGTAGTGGGATTATAAAACTTAAACCCCCGAGAGCGTTCAACATATCCAACAAAATAGTAGTTGATTGTTCTTGAGTCCAACTTTCTTTCATTTGGCCTATAAGGCCTCGCTTCTGCTGGACAACCCCAAATGTGTAAATGCCTTATGCTAGGTTTCTTTCCATTCCATAGCTCATAAGGGGTTTTTATCACTGCTTTGTTGGGAACCCTATTAAGGATATAAACTGCAGTCTTTAGTGCTTCTCCCCAAAGTGGTTCTTGCAATGAAGAATGACTAAGCATACTCCTCACCATGTCTTTAAGAGTTCGGTTTCTCCTTTCCGCAACACCATTCATGCTAGGTTTACGTGGCATTGTGTATTGCGGGACGATTCCACACTCCTTTAGGAAGATCGCAAAGGGCCCTGAACGTTGTTCACCTGATCCATCAGATCTACCATATTATTCACCACCACGATCAGATCTAATGGCCTCAATTTTCTTGCCTAACTAAAGTTCAACTTCAGCTTTAAATTCTTTGAACACATCCAATTATTGTGACTTCTCTCTAATCAAATATAGGTATCCAAATCTTGAACAGTCGTCTATGAATGTGATAAAGTATTGTTGACCATTCCAAGAGGCTATAGGAAATGGTCCACAAATATCCGTATGAATCAATTCTAACACGTCTGAAGCTCTGTTGGAACCTATTTTCCTTATGTTTGTCTGTTTCCCCTTTATGCATTCAATGCACACCTCAAAATCATCCAGATCAAGGAGTTCAAGAATTCTATCAGTCACAAGCCTCTGAATTCTCTGTTTAGAGATATGACCTAAACGCTTGTGCCACAGAACTAGTACCAACAAACTAAAGTGAGAGTCATACCCTTCTTTTCGCGCCATGCCTTGTATTTGGAACACTCTTTCTTCATGTGTCCAGATTTCTTACAAAAGAAGCAGGTGAATTCCTGGTCCTGCTTCTTTTGCTTTTTTGGCAAAGCATCCGCATTATACTTAGCTCTCTTTCTTTTCTTGTCTTGAGAGGTTGATGCCAAGTGAGCACTATCAGTCTTCTCTCGCTGTAACATCTCTTCCTCTTACATGCAGTGAGAAATGAGCTCATTAAGAGTCCATTTTCTTTTTCTTTTTGAGTGTTATAACTCACCACAAATTGACCGTATTATGCAGGAAGAAATATAATAACTAAGTACATGAGCAACTCAGAGGGTAGCTCTAACTTTAATGCCTTTAGTTTTCCAGCAAGATTAGACATTTCCATAATGTACTCCCTTATGTTTCCTTTTCCTTTATACCTCATGTTTATGAGTTTGGACAAGGTTTGACCAATTTCAGCCTTTTCATTTCGAGCAAAGTATTGCTCGAGTTCCTTCAGAAACAACTTGGCATCAGTAGTCTCAACGATCGAACCCCTAAACGCCTCCGGAACGCAACGTTTCATGATCATCAGAAACATGCGATTTGAGCGTTCCCACTTCTCAATTTTATCCGTGTTTGGATTTTCCTGAGTGGAAGTGGGTTTCTCAGTCCTTAGCGCATTGTCGAGATCCATGCGGCCGGACAATTTCCACATTCTCTTTCCACAGCTTGAAATTTTCCCCATTAAGCATTGGAAGCATATTCATTTGAGCAACATAATTGGCAGCGGTAGCAGAAACTATACAGAGAACAAAAAAGATAACATACAAATAATCCGAAGTAAAATGAGTTTATTATAAGATACCTAGCACAACATTAATATTTAGTCTGTGGACAAAAATATCAACTTGTAAGTGGTACTCTTAATGTAGTAATCAAACATTGACAATAAGTTCTGTCAAATCATAGCCTTCCTGTGGGCCGACTGTGAATTACATGGAGAATTCTTGATAATTTTCACATATTTATTACCACATGTATGTTTGTTACTTGGCCAAATAATAACCTTCCTGTGGGCCGATCACTATCCGCATAAGCAATAAACACACACATGATCCCACAACATATGTTATTTGGCCAAACAATAACCTTCCTGTGGGCCGATTATTATTTGCATAAATAAAATATATTTATATATGACCAACCTATTTGAAATCAAATTAACCTTTATAAATTTGGCCACTTTGGCGGCTAACAAATCTATCATATTCAATTTCAAATAGAAACCTTTAGGGATAATAAACACATTTAAAAATAAAATAACAACAATAAAGAAAATTATTCTTTATCAATTCTCATTGTATATATATATACATATTGTATCATTATATCATTATATCAATAACAATAAATTCATTTTCATTATAAGGCTTAAAAAATAATGCACAATCGACGCACATGTAAGCCTTTTTAAATGAAAGCTTGAAAATCATGCACATAATAAATACTTTTTCATTATAAGGCTTAAAAATTAATGCACAATTGACGTACGTGTAAGCCTTTTCAAATGAAAGCTTGAAAATGATGCACACAATAAATACCTTTTCATTATAAGGCTTAAAAATTAATGCACAATCGACGCACATGTAAGCCTTTTCAAATGAAAGCTTGAAAATGATGCACACAATACCCAAAATTTAAATTTGGCTTTTGACAAAGAATATCAAATCTAAGAAAAAAAATCCCAAAACCAAAGACCTTAAACATTCGATTTCTTTCCAACTATAAGTCCAAAACATTCTAAGAGAATTCATTGTTTATTCAAAAAATTCAAACAACAAAACCTCATCGATTATAAAGCCAAATTTCTTCCAAACATTCCATCTATACCCAGATTCAAAATTTAAATTATAAACCTTTATTAAACTGCGAATCCTAGTTTTTTCTATAAAAAAAATAGCTTTTGTTCCAAAACCAAAAAATCACCGTCAGGGAACAAAAATAACACAACATAGCTAATACAAAATACATAAGATGGAACCCACGTTCAAAAAATAATAAACTATATGCCAAAAGACAATAAAGCAAAACTCTTCATGATTAATCATATATAAAAATCACAAAACTTAACTCCTTCATAATTCAATATGACGATGGCTCTGATACCAATTGTTGGAATTTTTAATTCCTCTAAACCTTTTGGTGATAACTATCACCTACAAGCCAAGATCCATCATACCAAATCATAAAGAAATAATTACATAAAGGTGGAGGCATACCTGTCTCCATTGCAGCGGAATAACTTTGATCTTGTCTCTTGAGGTTTGTAGTCTTCCTCAGTCAAATCACCCTAAAACTGAATTCCTTAGTGTGTCGTCTCTCTCTTGATGGGGAAGAGAAACTAGGGTTGTCATTTGAAGTCTTGGGGACCATAACCCTTATAGTGTTTTTATCTTTATTATTGGGCCAATAAGCTCTCATTATACCTAGTTGGCCCAACACCGGTATCCACTCATTCAGCCCATACTCATTTAGGAATCTATTTGGGAATATTTAACTGATCATTTTAATTTACCCAATATATATAAATAACACAATATAATTATTAATATAATATGTGACCCACAATGATTATTAGAAAATATAATTTCCTAACACTATATGCTTTATAAATGATATTCAAACTAATAAGTTTTCCAGATAAAATAATTTAATTTCAATTAAATTATAAAACTACTTAAAAGAATACATAATCTATTTGAATTGGAAAAAGTATTTATTAATATACTTATTTGTTAGTCTGGTTGATATCACTCTTGATGATATTAATATTGTTTTTGTGGTAGTTAACTTGTACCTTTTGGGAGGAGTTAACTGTTGAAGATTATATAATCCAATAGTGTGGATAAGGATTAAGGATATTATGAAATTTGATGAATATGTTCTGATCATGAGTGCAACGAGCTTTACTTGTGGTGCGGCTTGTTTAATATTTATATTACAAAAGAGATGACATGATTGTTTTATATATTATCCAATAAAAAAAATAGATACGAGATAAACATTTATATTGAAAGCGTTAATTTATAGGGTGATATATATATATATATATATATATATATATATATATATATATATATATATATATATATACGGGGAAAAAGATCCGTTTACAAACTTTATTTACAAATTTTTACAAATTACACTATGTATTTCCGAAAGTATATAATGTAAGCTAGTGTACTTCTACACAATGACACTTTCAGTGGGTAGATTATTATTCTGAAAGATATTTTCTTCAAGAGGACTGTTGGATTATGGTGGTCCCGGAGAGATCCCTCAGTTTCTGGTGTTAAGCAAGGTATTTCTGCTGTTACTAGAGAGTCAGAGTGTAAGACTTCAACATTCTCCACACCTGTATATGTTGCTTCAAAATAGAGATTGGCCACTACGACAATTTGATGTTAAGAATGCATTATTTACATCAATTTGTCGTAGTGGCCAATCTCTATTTGCAGCTATTGACATAATTATCCGGATTGTATTGAGTTTAGCGACTGGTGCAAAGGTTTCTTGGTAGTCTACTCCATACTTTTGCGAGTATCCTTTTGCCACCAATCTAGCTTTGTACCTGTCAATGCTTCCATCTGCCTTGAGTTTTATAGTAAACACCCACCTACATCTAGTGTACTTCTGGGAGTACATAGTATAGTTTGTAAGAGTTTGTAAATAAAAAGTTTGTAAATATAACCCAATAGTTCCATGTTGCATCATGTCGCATAGGCCAAAGTCCAGAGAATTGGCGCTAGTTGGCGCCAGAATGGCGCAAACTAGCGCCACCATGCGAACCAGCGCCAAGTGAAGCCAAGTAGCGTCACCATGCCAACCAGCGCCAAGTAGCGCCATTCCAAGCCAAGTAGCGCCACTATGGCGCCAACCGGCGCCACTTTTCGAGAATCCGGTTCTGACTTTTTTATATCAGACAGAGGCGCAATGCAAACTTGCGCCAAACCAGCGCCAACTAGCGCCAGTTTGCGGGAAATTATACCGTGCTGTGCGAGGGCAATTTTGGAAAAATAGAATAGACTTATAAATAGGATCCTCATCACAGAATTAGGTATTCAGACCTATTCTTCTGAAGAGAGACGACGACAGAGCTCCGAGAGGATTCCTGAGATCAAGTTCTTCTTCTCTTTCTCCTTAAATTTTATGCTTTTGAATATTGGATTATTTTTAGCCATGATTATGTTTGGCCAGTTTAATTTTTATTGTAGTTAGGGTCACAAACGCTATGTGAACCCTTGTTACGACGGATTGGTTTACTTTTACTCGTTTATATAAATTGTCTTTATCTCTATCCTGCGCGTATTTTATATTTTCTTTATTTGAATTGATCACTCTAATAGTTGATAATAGTCTGAGGGTTAGAACCCTAGATAGGGATATTGGGGTTTTCATCCTGAAAAGGGGTAGGATAACGGTTCGTATGCATGCTAGGCATAGATGTGTATTGAAGATGCCTAAATTATAGAGTTCATCGCTTAATTTTCATGAGGGGTTGCTAAGGGATTAGGATCCCAATTGAGATTAAAGGGTTAAATTGTCAAGGGATTGAGATTTAACTAATTATTTTAGATAATAATTTATCCGAATAATTTTATAGATGAATATTGTAAATCAATCCAAAGTAAGAAGTGGGGATCATAAGGTGTGTGCGCTCTAGCTACAATATTTTTCTCATATTTTCAAAACATCAATTCTTTTTATTATTCTTTTTCTCATAATTAAAAATACAAAAACAAGTCATTATTTTCAATTCTCGATTTCACACAAATTGACAATATTTGTCAAGACCCTTTTGAACTCTTCCATTCTTGAAAGGAACGATTAATTGATATTCGACCTAATCCCTGTCGAGACGATACTTTACTTACTATTATATTACTTGTGCGATCGGTACACTTGTCGGGTAGCATCAATAACAATACACATGTCGTTGCTGTATGTAAAGCGATTGCAGAAATAATTTTACCATATATATATATATATATATATATGGGAAGAATCATTTGACATTGGTGTCAAACTTTAAAATTTGACACCAAATCCTAGCAGTTATTTTCGCTAATCAACGGTTATCATTTATTGAGAATCAAACTTATTAATTAATTATTAATTCCCATAAATGATAATCGTTAATTGACGAAAATCAACGGTTATTATTTGGTGTCAAATTTTAAAGTTTGACACTAGTGTCAAAGAATCCTATCCCATATATATATATGGGTTTGATGTTTCTCATTTTAAATGGCATAAGTTATGTCATTTTAGGGGAAAGATAGACACAAGGAATAGAAATCATGGGAGAGAAAGTGATTGGTTTTTTTTTTAAATTTAAAATTTAAATAAAAAAATTTATTATGTGTCTATCTCTCTCTTAAAATGACATAACTTTATGTTACTTAAAATGACAAATACTTTTCCCATATATATATAGGGTTTTATAAAAGTTGTTGTAGGAAAAGTGATTGTGTTATGTTATAGAGATTTGTTTTGCGTGCCGCAGTTTTTTTTTTTTTGCTCAAAAAATTGCGGGCCCCACAAAATATTGTTGTTAGAAAAGTTTTTCTTGTCATGTTAAATGATGAATGCAAATCCCATATGATCCTGACCCATATAGGGGCAGGATATTCTTACACCGATGTAAGAGTTAGAAGTCTTACACTCAATCTTGACCATTTATCCACTTGTATCCAATGGCTCACGTTATTAAAAAATTAGAGCCCTTAGATATAAGTGGGGTCAACAGACAAGATTGAGAGTGTAACTTACACTTGTGTAAAATGATCCTGACCCATATAGGGGCGGGATATTCTTACACCGATGTAAGAGTTAGAAATCTTACACTCAATCTTGACCAATGATCCACTTGTATTCAATGGCTCACATTACTAAAAAATTAGAGTCCTTAGATATAAGTGGGATCAACGGACAAGATTGAGAATGTAACTTACACTAGTGTAAAATGATCCTGACCCATATAGGGGCAGGATATTCTTACACCGATGTAAGAGTTGGAAGGCTTCCACTCAATCTTGACCCATATATATATTTATATATGGGGCAGGTTCTTTTTACACCAGTGTAAGACTAACAAGTCTTACATCACATCTTATTCGTTGATGGACGAAAATCATCGGTTGGTATTTGTAGTGTAATTAGTGATTAATAAATATTAATTAATTCGTACAACTTCCTAAGTTATAACCAATGTTATTAAAATCGGCCCGGTCATTGACCCGGTCAAGGTACTGGGTCACTGGTTCAACCAATGGGTCACTGGTTCAACCGCATGACCCGGTAATTATATGCACTTTTATAATTTATATTAAAAAATTATTGTAATATCCCAGAAAAATAGTAATAATAATAGTGTGTACCCTTATGTATAGTGTTATAGGCATTGATTGCTAATAGTGTGTCATATATAATATGACTATAAAATTGTAACCTTAATTAGTGGTGATTTTAGTTGTAACGTTTAGCAGTTATGGTTGGTTATCATTTAGTTAATAAATGCCAACAATTATTTTTATTTAATTTTGTAACCATTGAGATATTATAATTAAAATAATTATGATGGCCTTTCATTTTAACTGCAGATTTTATAACTAAAATAATTATGATGACCTTTGATATTACTTGTAGTTTCAATAATTGAAATAAGTATATGACTTTTGATATTATCTGTAGTTAATGTCTCGGTTTCAAAATTACAGCTATAAATAGGAGTTTAACCTAGTCAAACCAAACCACTTCCTAATTCTCAACATTTCTCCATTTCTCTTCTCCTTTACTTTCTCTCTTCTTACTTCAAATTTTTATTTATTTTATTTTACTATTATTTTCCTTTGGATACCAACCGCTTTTCTTCCCCCAATCACTTTTCTTCTAAAAGGTAGCCAACACGGAGACTAGGTAATCCTAATCCCTAGGTGGTTGTAGATTTGTTGTGTAAAAATTTGTTGGGTGTATCCTAAACCTTTAGAAGTAATAGATTATTTATATACGAATTTTGTTTGATATAATATTGACCTTTACGGAGTAATATATTAATTTTATGTGATTCTTATTTGACATAATCCCAATTTGTTATATGTAATCCTAATCCCTAGGTATTTGTAGGTTATCTCTTTTATATGAAATTTGGGCTTAATCCTTATATGTAATCCTAATTCCTAGATATCCTAATCCCTAGGTGCTCTTAGGTTAGTTTTATATGAAATTTGTTAAATGTAATCTTAATCCTTATGGAGTTTTTGGATGTTTTCATATGTTATTGTAACCCTTAGGGTATTTGAATTAAATTATTTTAACCTCTAGAAATTAATTGGATTATTGGACTTTGGCTTTACTCTAATAGATGTGAATATTTGAATTCTGATTTGGAAAATTATAATATGATGATTGGATTTGGATTTTACTCTTTGAATTATGATATGATGATTGGATTTGGGTTTCACTCTGGTTGGATTTGGGTTTCACTCTGATTGGATTTGGGTTTCACTCTGATTGGATTTGGGATTCACTCTGGTAGATGTTGAATATGAAAATTATGATATTATTGGATAATGGATTTGAAAATTATGATATTATTGAAAGATTGAATTTGGAAATTATACTCTTAATTTGATGTGGAAATCATGAAAACTATTTGACAATTATGAGAATCGTGATAAGATTGAATTGTATTGATTGTGTGTGATTGCAATAAATAATAGTGGAAAGATAGCTTTTGGGATGGTACCTCCTGAAAGTGATGAACACAACCTTTGAGCTTTATGCCTTTGATATTTATTTGATGTGACAATGATGTTTCCGTTCTTCCCAAAGTGGTATCTGGCAACAGGGTTTCCCGGGGTACTAGTAGCAACTTTGGGAAGAGGTGTGCACACTAGGATTTGATATTTTGATATGGCCAATTTTGATTATACGTGGCTGGCAACAGGGTTTCCCGGTCACGGGGTAGACTGCCAACAGGGTTTTTCAGGTCTACCATGGTTCTTTTCCCACTAAATACACTAAATGGATGATTAAACAAAGATTAATATAATTAATAACGAGTTGATATTTGATTTGAATTTTGAGTTATATTATTTGATTGGATTATTATGAGTTATATTTTATTTATTTATTTATTTATTTTCGTATATTAGATTGGGATTACCAGCTTTGCTGACTGTTTGTGTTTGTGATTGTTTTCCTGCAATGATCCTACTGGGGGAGCAGATTTTCAGTGAAGTAGATTGCAAAGGATGAGACTAGCTGTGGGCAGTGAGGATAACGACTCAGACATTTCAAGCTAGTTCCTAAGTTTAGAAATTTTATGAGATTTAATAAATGAAAAGACATATTTCCTTTATTTAAACTTTAGTCTTTGGTTTTATTTTAATGTAATAAATTTAGCCTTGCACTTGCCCATAGTACAAGTGCGGCGGTAACATTTTCCAAATTTGGTTAATTTAAATTTCACAGTTATTTATTATTTTAGAAATTTTATGTTATTATAAATTGTTAAAAATTTGGGGTGTTGCAATTATAAACATACTCAAATTTCTAAAAAAATTGATAAAAATTTCAAATATTTTAATATAAAAAAATAATAAATCACATATTATTATCTAATAAAGGATCAATCCAAAATATAATGATCTTGATACGGGACTTTAGGTTCAGAAAATGACATTTTTAACTATAAATCAAATTAAAATTTTCTGCATAGTGCATAATTGAGATAATATTAGTGTTGTAGGTACATAACTAATGTAAGTCAATAAGCAAAAAAATGTTCAAATATGTCCATTATGATTTTTTTTTTAAATGGAATTTTTTTTTTTGGGACAGGGCCGAGTCACCGGTTATCCGACCGGGTCACTAGTTTTCATGAAAACCGACCGTGTCACACCGGTTCTGATGCATGGCCGGTCCGTTGCTTTAATCGGACCAGTTATATGACCGGTTTACCGATTTCCGGGTTGATCCGATTTTATTAACACTGATTATAACTGTTGGATGCACGAAAATCAAATGTTAAGATGTGGTGTAAGATTTATTACTCTTACTCAAATATAAATGATCCTGATCATGTATATATATATAGGGACCCACACTACCAAACATACCTTTCCTTAACTTTTCCTTAAATAATAAAATATATAAATGCAGAATGGAAGTAAATCAAAGTTTGTTTAATTCCGTCCAACGTTAAAATAATGTCCAATTTATCTACGTCTCTCAACATTCTTTTCTATTTATACATGACTACAACTTATTAAAACGCCGAATATAATATGGGATTAGTATTTGTTTTTTTAGAGAACATAAAATTGTGCTGTTTTAGTTAAAATTATTGTGTATTATGGTGAGAAAAACAAAAATCATAGTATAAGGAAATAAGAGATTTTTTTATTTAAAATAATAATAAAATATTAATTGTAACTGAAATAACTGTCTTTTAAAAGAATATACATTAATATATAATAGTTTTGTTGCAATTTTTTACATTTTCACAAAATAATATTTAATAAAATTGTATGGGATCAATTAAAGAGAAAAGCTAAGAAAGAAAAAAAAAAAGTGTTCGATGATCCACTTTTTGTGTGTTGTAACAAACATATTTTCTAAAGTTTAAACTCGTAAGATTATTTTGGGACCAAGCATTATCTTCCTAATAATAGATTTATGAATCAGAAATTGCCACCTAAATCTTTGTTAGCGTTTAAGACTGTGGCCTTAAAAAGTGAAAGATATTTTGGATCAATTTGATTTGATCAAAGTTGATTGATAGAAAGTGGAAGAGATTTCAAAATTGTTTAGAATCGAAGGTTATGGTTATGGATGATGATGAGAGGGATGTTGAGAGAGAGGGGATGATGATGATGATTGGGAACGATGGCAAAGAAAAGAGTATAGAGAGAGGCAAATCAGGATTAGGATTAAGATTAGAATCAGGATCAGGTTCAGGTTCATGTTCAGGTTCAGGTTCAGGTTCAGGATCAGGATCAGAGAGGCTGAGAGAGCCTCTGCTTGGCACCAATAACAGGATCAACAACACTTCCCAGCTTGCCATTGTCGGAGCCAATGTTTGTTTTATTGAAAGTCTCGATTACGAGTACTATCTCTCTTTCCGCTTTCCTCTTCACTCTTGTCTTGTCTATATATGTTTTTGTTTTCAATTTTATGGGGAAACAAAAAATGATGGAATTCAAAGGATTTTGCTTTTTTGGGTAATTTGGGTTTCTCTCCTTTTTTGGCTTTTGGCAACATAAATCATGTATCATATGTTTTTTAACCTGTAAAATCTTTTGCTTCAATTTGCTCTCCTAGTGTGGCGCTGGTACTCAAATTTTCAGAATTATGTATGACCCGACAGAGTGATTTTCTTGATTTTGTTCAAATCAAATGACACCTGATTGTAGGATTAAATGTACCTGTGAGTGCTTTAATGAAAGAGTGAAATCCTTATTACCTGTAATATGAACCGATCGTTCATGTTCCATGCATTATCCTTGGAATCATTTAAGGCTTCTTTGTCTTTATTGCATTCTCACAAGCCATAATGGATTTTAACCTTGCAGGCCTACTACAGAGGCCAAGTTGTTCTTGACAGTTATTGCTTCTGATCTGAATCATACTATATAAAAATAGTAATGTAAAACCATTACCTTAGTGCTGTGCTGCCTCACTTTGTTCATTTTACATCCAGGATCATTGAGAATGATCTTTTCAAACAAGACTGGAGGTCTAGATCAAAGGCTGAGATAGGCCAGTATGTTGTCCTAAAATGGACCCTTGCACTTTTCATTGGGTTAGGCACAGGTCTTGTTGCCTTCTTCAATAACATTGGAGTTGAGAATATTGCTGGTTTCAAGCTTCTACTCACCAACAATCTCATGCTCACGCGAAAGTATGACTATTCTTCTCATTGTGTGCTTTATACCCGTGCCTTGTCTTTATAATTAAGGTTTTATTTTATAATTGTAGTTTTAGCATCCTTAATCCTTTTGGTTTTGAACTTAATATTATTATTATTATTATTTTATAATTTGTGTTCATTTTCTGTTATACATTTCATACTCCTGCATAATGGTTTGGGAAATTTTGCAAATCTGTTCATAGTTTTATTAATAAACCGCAGCATATGTTTACCCAATAATAATAATAATGATGATGATGATGATGATGATAACTAGACCACAGGTATTTTCAGATTCAAGTAAAATTTAAATAATTAAATTAAAAAAAAAGAGAGAGTTAAGAATGACATGTTCATTCTTTCAGTAAGAGTAGACAAGAGATTAATCTATTCTTAAGAAAATGTACTATAATTTAATAAATTGGGGCAAATAATAATAAATAAACAGCAGGATAAAATTTGAGTAATTTTTATTTATTTATCTGGGTTATCTTTTATTGCCGTGTTGTGGTCTAGCTCTGTTATGATGTTTGTGTAAATGTCCAGTCTTGCAATATTTAGTTACAAAGTGTAGGATAACATATATAAAAGTAACGAAATATTAAGCTTATATTTGCCAGCCACTTGTTCTTTTTGCAGCGAACATTCATGTATTTTTGTTCTAATGACCTACTGAACCTAAAGGCAGTGGTACATAAACGACTTTTACATGCTACCGAAATTAACTTGTAGAATTATGGAATAACCACGCTATGATTTTTACTGCAGAACAGGTATCATCAGGCCTTTGTAGTATATGTTGGATGTAACATGATTTTAGCCGTTGCTGCTGCAGCCCTCTGTGCCTACATTGCCCCTGCAGCAGCAGGGTCCGGCATACCTGAGGTGAAGGCATACCTCAATGGTGTAGACGCTCCTTCTATATTAGCTCCAACTACCCTCTTTGTAAAGGTAGGTTAGCTACCTACTCAACATGATATTATGTGTGTGAGTCTAATCCTTTTTGTTCTTTTCATCATCTATGTATAAGTAACTAAGTACATAGCTTTCCTAGGGAATGATTAGATCCAATTGTCCTTTTGTCTCCTGATTATTTTAACACACGTACATAATTACTCTTAAAGTAATTGATAAGAAATGATTTTAATTAATGCTAACAGGAAATGCATTCACACTCTTAATACATGAAGTACTATACTTCAAATAATTTCTATTTTGCCACTTCAAAGTGGTGAACCCTTTTGTAGCATACTATAGTTAAGAAGTCGCCTTTTCTAAGTGGTGAACCCTTTTAAGCATTAATTCATTAGTTCTTAATCTGCCTTCGTTTGGGTCCTAAGGTCCATGGCTCTGGCTAAATAATAAAAAAAATAGTCTTTTCCTAGTCTGCCCCCCTTGCCAGTAGGAAAATCTTGAAACAAGTTTCTTTTTGATAATATTTCGTTCGTTGATTGACAATGACCATAGTTTTTAATTTGGAAATGGCTTGAACTTTTCAGATTTTTGGTTCAATATTTGGGGTTGCGGCTGGTTTTGTTGTGGGTAAGGAAGGACCTATGGTACACACTGGTTCTTGCATAGCTAATTTACTTGGACAAGGTGGTTCTAGAAAATATCGGTTGACATGGAGATGGCTCAGACATTTTAAAAATGACCGAGACCGAAGGGATTTGATCACGTGTGGTGCAGCTGCTGGTGTTGCTGGTGCTTTCCGTGCCCCAGTTGGTGGTGTCCTTTTTGCACTTGAAGAAGCAGCTTCCTGGTTCTGTGACTTTTTCTCTCCTGTTTTGCATGCATGTCAATTTGTGACAACACCATTGCAAGTATTGCATAATTAACTTTTTTATCTGGACAATTAATATAAAATGATAGAATGTAATTCTCGTGTCGTGCAAGTGTTTTCTGCATAAATACAATGTCTAAGGGCTTTATGCCTCTCATTTCCCCTACCCCCACAATTTAAAAACTTGTGTGTTTTATGTTGTAAGGTTTCTCTGATTGCATTTATGTATGTAATTTCAGGTGGAGGAGTGCTCTTCTGTGGCGAACATTTTTTACGACAGCTGTGGTAGCTGTAGTGCTGAGAGGTTTCGTAGAATTATGCCGGGGTGGAAAATGTGGTCTTTTTGGGGAAGGAGGTTTGATAATGTTTGAGGTTAATTCAGCAAAGCCTGCTTACACCACACCTGACCTCCTCGCAGTTATATTTCTTGGAGTTATTGGAGGTCTTTTAGGAAGCCTTTACAATTATCTTGTGGACAAGGTCCTTCGCACTTACGCCATCATAAATGAGTATGTCCAAACCTGTTATGCATTTATTGGTATAAAATATGGGAATATAGTTTTCCGTATTTGAATGAGATAAAATTATTTTATGTACACACATAAAAGTGGGTGAGATTCACTAAAGAGAATATTAGTGGTCCATCCATTTTTGTATATATGCATGAGAAACCATATTCCCATAAAATATACTTTTGTCTGTAAATAATAAATGTTTTTATAATTGTTACTAAAGTTTTTGAAAAAAAAAAGTATACATTTTATACATATATTGTAAAAATTAACTTGGTACAAAATTATTTTTCGTTTATGATGACATTGAATGTAGGAAAGAGGGTGCTAGCACAAAGTAAAAGAATTAGATTCCTTACAAAGGAAATATGGTGGTGGAATAGAGAGGTGCAAGAGGCAATTAAACAGAAAAAGAAATGCTTTAGATCTTTGCATAAAAGTCTCAATGATAATAATTTGCAAAAGTTTAGATTGGCGAAAAAAATGCAAAGAAAGAAGTGCGAGAAGTTAGAGGTAAAGTTTTCGTCGATTTGTATAAAAATCTTGGGAGTAAGAATGGTGAAAAAGGTGTATATATATAGGGAAATATAAGAATCATGTTGCAGGAATGGCACTGTTCATTCCTGTAACAAGGATACGGCGTCGTATCCTAAGGATACGGCGTCGTATCTTGACTTTGGTCTGACTTTTTTTTTTTAAGCGTGGGACCCACACTTGATTTGTGTGTGTAGGAAAGTGCTCTTGTCATGTCAAATGACAAAAAGGGAACCCATATATATATATATATATATATATATATATATATATATTTGCAAAAATGAGGGATAAGAAAAGTAAAGACTTCACTCAAGTTAGAGCATCAAGGATGAAAACCAAAAACTTTTGGTAAGAGACAAAAATGTAAATGAAAGATGGATGAACTACTTTAACAAAAATTTTAATGGGTATGGCAATAAAAGCGAGGCGGGCTTGGAGGATGCTTATGATGATCTAAATAGGAGATTTGCGCACAAAATCAATACACATGAAGTCAATGAGGCTTTAAAGAGGATGAACACTAATAAAGCTTTGGGACCCGATGGCGTAACTATTGAAGTGTGGAGGGGCTTGGGGGAGGTGGCAATAAATTGGCTGACTACTCTTTTCAATAAGATTCTTCAAACAAATATGATGTCTGATGCTTGGAGGAAGAGTGTGTTTATGCCTATTTACAAAAACAACGGAGATATCCATAATTGTTTTAACTATAGAGGCATTAAGCTTATGAGCCATACTATGAAGTTGTGGGAGAGAGTTATTGAACATCGTTTGAGGAGAGTGACCAAGGTTTCTGTAAATCAATTTGGATTTATGCCAGGAAAATGTACCACAGAAGCTATTTTCTTGATGTGTCAATTGATGGAAAAATATCGAGAAAAAAAGAAGGATTTACATATGTTGTTTATAGATAATGAGAAAGCATACGATAGGGTCCCAAGAAAATTTTTATGGTGGGTTCTTGAGAAGAAAAAAGTACCATCAAAGTATGTAAATGCAATCAAGGATATGTATGGTGGGTTTTCCTGTTACAGTAGGTGTACGTCAAGGTTCGGCTTTAAGTCCCTATCTCTTTGCCTTAGTGATGGATGAACTAACAATAGACATTCAAAAGGAAGTATCATGGTATATGCTTTTTGCAGATGATATTGTGCTTATTGATGAGACCAAAGACAGTGTTTATAGGAAACTTGAATTGTGGAGAAGAACTTTGAAGTCTAAAGGTTTCACGTTAAGCCGGAGCAAGACTGAGTATATGAAGTGTGAGTTTTCTCTGATAAGAGATGGAGATCAAGATCACATGCATCTACTTGGTCAAAATGTACCCAAGAAAGAGGCTTTTAGATATCAGGGATGAATTTTGCAAAAAGGTGGTGGGGATGTAAATCACAGAATCAGATCAGGATAGATGAAATGACAGAGTGCATATGAGTTTTTGTGTGACTGCAAAATTCCCCTTAAGCTAAAAGGAAAATTCTATAGGACAACAGTAAGTCCTGCAATGTCATATGGAGCTGAATGTCGGCCAGCTCATAGGCAACACGAGCATAAAATGAGAGTAGCAGAAATGAGGATGTTAAAGTGGATGTATATATGGTTATACGAGGATGGATAAGATAAAAAATGGAGATATTCGACAAAAGGTAGAAGTAGTACCGGTAACTGAAAAGATGAAGGAACATAGATTGAGGTGGTTTGGGTACGTAATGAGACGACCTCTGGATGCTTATGTAAAAACAAAAGTTTGTTACCAAGAGCTCGACACAAAGAGAGGTAGAGGTAGACCGAAACTTACTTGGGAAAAGGTAGTTAAACAAGACCTAATGAAGTGAGATATAGATTGGGAGATGATGTGTCTTAGGACGAAGTGGAGGAAAGCTATAAGCAGGGTGAATGGTTAAACCCATTATTATTCCTATGTTTCAGATGATCCCTTTTTAATTCTTCTCCTCTTCAACCCCCATTTCTTTCTTTTCCCCTTCTCGTCTTTTATCTTTTTTTTCCCCTTCCCTGATTTTTTTTTTATTTTTTTAATTTTTTAATCTCCTTTTATTTATCATTGGGTTCATCTACCACCAACCCCAATTAGCTTGGGTTAAAGGTGCTATTGATGTTGATGTTGATGACGTTGAATGTGATTTTAATAATAAAATAAAAAATTATTTATCTAAAAAATTATTTTTTTATATATTTAAATTCATGCAAAAGCGAAGTTATATTCTAATTAATAGTAACAGAAAAAATTAGTAAGAAAATAAGTATATGTTAAATATGTAAAGTGTAAATATATAACTAAAAATATTAATAGTAAGAAGGTTGAATTAAAATATTTTTGTATAACAATTTTAATTAATACAGATAAAAATTTACTTAATAAATTGGATAAGCATTTTAATTTTGGTATATAAATAATTAAGTATAGTAGTAGAACACACACACATACACATTTATATATCTCGTCGAAATGTTTTTGCCAATAAGTTAAATTTGTTTTAAAATATTTAAGAATACATATCATATACTTGACGTTTGAAAATATATTAAACTTGTATAGATTCAAACTTAAATATGTTTTTTTGTGATATTTTACTTGACTATTGTGCCTAATGTCTTCTTCTATTATCGTGCTGAACTCTTAAAATTATTTTTGTATTGTTGCTGACAAATGATTATATATTGCAGGAAAGGCCCTATATTCAAAGTTCTACTTGTCATGATTATCTCCTTTTTGACCTCTTGCTGTTCATTTGGCCTTCCATGGCTATCAAAGTGCATCCCTTGTCCTCCTCATTTGAGGGATCAGTGCCCAACCGTAGGGCGCTCCGGACACTACAAGAATTTTCAGTGCCCACCTAACCACTACAACGACCTTGCCTCTCTCTTTTTTACTACTAATGATGATGCTATTCGTAACTTATTTATTGCTGGCTCTGACAAAAGATTTCTGCTCTCTAGTCTTCTGATTTTCTTTGTGGCCATATACTTTCTTGGAATCATCACTTATGGCATTGCCATTCCCTCTGGGCTCTTTATTCCTGTTATACTTGCTGGAGCTTCGTATGGGCGTCTTGTAGGAAGTCTCTTGAGTCCATTCACTGTTCTTGATGTGGGTTTGTTTGCCCTCCTTGGGGCTGCATCCTTCCTTGGAGGCACCATGAGAATGACCGTTTCTCTTTGTGTCATACTTCTTGAACTCACAAATAACCTGCTGATGCTTCCATTGGTGATGTTGGTTCTCCTTATTTCCAAGTCTGTGGCTGATTGTTTTAACAAAGGAGTTTATGATCAGATTGTGCAAATGAAGGGGCTACCTTATATGGAAGCACATGCAGAACCATACATGAGGCAATTAATTGCAAGTGATGTTGTTTCTGGTCCATTGGTTACATTTGCTGGGGTTGAAAAAGTGGGGAACATTGTGCATGCTTTAAAGGTCACTGGACATAATGGGTTTCCTGTAATTGATGAGCCTCCTTTCTCAGATGCTCCTGAATTGTGTGGGTTGGTTTTGAGGTCTCATCTGCTTGTACTCCTTAAACACAGGACATTTACAAAGGAGAGAGGGATGACTGGATCCTCCATTATGAGAAACTTCAAGGCACATGATTTTGCAAAGCCAGGTTCAGGCAAGGGGATCAAGCTGGAGGATATAGACATTTCTGAGAACGAGATGGAAATGTATGTTGATCTCCATCCGATTACTAATACGTCACCATATACAGTTGTGGAAACAATGTCTCTAGCTAAAGCTGCTCTTCTTTTCCGGGAGCTTGGCCTCAGGCACTTGTTGGTGGTGCCAAAGACACCGGGAGTAAGACTTTCTCTCCCTCTCTGTATCTATGTATATATGTATGTATGTATGTTGTGTGTGTAGTGAGCTGAACATGATGGATGCTATTCGTGTCTGTTATACTAGCTTTTTCTATTATGAGTTATCATTAACTTTTCTATTTACTTATTATTGTACAGAGACCTCCAATTGTCGGGCTCCTGACAAGACATGATTTCATGCCTGAGCATGTCTTGGGACTTTACCCTCACTTCCACTCCCATAAGTAGAGAAATCATTATCAAGCTTATTTTTTGGTGACATCAAACCTTATCAACTATAAGGCACCATGGAGTTCCTTTTATTAGTAGAAGATTAATCAAGATCTTTACCACAATCACCTTGTTGTTATAGAGCACGATACCTAGATGAGCTTACGAGTGTTTTCATTCTTTTTCTCTCTTGGAACTTGTATTTCGTCTGATATCGTTTGTCGTTATCTCTTGTAAGTTAGAAGATTGCAGAATTCGAATCTTTCAGTAGGGAAAAAAATTACGTTTTGCGAAGAGGAATGTTATAGTTATAAACTTTTTCTTTATAAATTATACTATGTCTGACCAGTCATATAGTAATCAAGAGTGTCATTCTTAGTGTTATTTGTAAAGAAAATTGTAAACGGATTTCTACTTATAAAGATATAAGAGTAAATACCCTTTTTCGTCCGTGGCAATTTTCACGAGGAACATTTTAGTCCCGAACATTAAAAAAAGCTTATTTTAGTCCCTAATATTTGAAAAAAAAGGTCATATTTGTCCTTCCGTTACTTGGCATCTGACGGCCCAACTAACGGAGCACATGTGAACCGTTACTTTGTTGAGTCACCGTTAAGTATGCCAGCATGGAAGTAATACGACGTCGTTTTATGTCTTCTTGGAGTTTTGGACAGCTGACCTTAGCATCGAAGGCCCTATTTGTTTCCTGACAAATATATCGAAGCCCTATTTGGTCCTTAACACTAAAAAAATGGACATGAACACAGAATCAAGTTTATCAAAGGGCTCCCATCTTTCTTAATCTTCAGGATTCAAGGAAAAATTAAATCAACAAAATTTCTTCAAGAATCTATACTCCTGTATCAGTAAAAGTTCATGCAAAGAACTGTAACTTAAACAATTAGAAACCCCCCCTTCTTTTGGGTATAAAATAAGTACTAATGTTATGCCCCAAAGACAAAACTAAGAACAAGGAATTATATTAATATTGCTCATTATTTTGTGCATAAGGGTGGAAGGAAGATGAGGGTGATTTAGAATTAAGTACTAATGTTAAGATCCCACAGCCTTACAGTTCTATCACTTGAACCTGTGGCAATGGCCTCCCCATCAGGGCTCACATCCACACATAATACCCAACTAGCATGACCTGACATGGTCCCAACTAAAGCCTTCCCGTCAGCATCATACATGTGGACATTACCATCGTCAGAAGCTGAAAACAGTAGTCTTGGATCATAGGGAGAATAAACAAGAGATCGCACAGGCATGCTGTGGCCTTCAAGGTGATGTAAAAATCTGGCACGTGGTACATCAAAAACAGAAATGGTGCCATCCATTGAGCCACAAGCAAGTCGTTTCCCATCAGGGCTCCATGCAACTGACAGGACAAATTTCTTGCTGCTACTTTTGTCTGTAGGCTTGGGTCCTTCTGGACGAGGAATTGATAGAGTTTCAATAAGATCCCATGTGGTAGTGTCCCAAAGCTTGACTGATGCACTACCTCCGCCAGCAACTGCTAGAATGGCACCCTAAAGGTAGAAAACTTTTGTTGATTAAATAACTATTGTATAGTTAAAGGATAGATAAAAATGTTCATATTTAATAGTATATCACAAGGCATCAAGGCAATGAATGATTTCTGCTATACTGCAAATTCTTAGAGGAACATGTAATATTTTCATAAAAGGGCACATATTAAGTGAGACAACAGAACAATGTATTAAATAGTTCAAGTAGCTTATAGTGCAAAAATTGAGGAATTGAATAAATCCTTGTACGTAATAATGAGCTATTCTGAGACTGAGTTTTCATGCTTATAGTTAATTTATACATCCTCAAAGAATGTTTGTGAAAAATATGTGGGTGAGTTTTCTCATACAATTTTTTCACACAGGACTCATCCCTGAATTTTTCACCCCATTTTTAAGGGTGTATCTAATGAACCTAAGCAATGGAGAAAGAAAAGAAAATGAAATGCTAAAATATTAAATACCAAGTATCTGAACATGAGAAACTCAAAGTATCAGGTAGAGTTGGAAAAGATGTACTTTGAAGAATAATTAACATGATTGCAGAATCAAACATTTACAAAATGGTAATCTCAATCAGTTGACTCTGTGTTCATGTCCATTTTTTTAGTGTTAAGGACGAAATAGGGCCTTCGGTGCTAAGGTCAGCTGTCCAAAACTCCAAGAAGACATAAAACAACGTCGTATTACTTCCACGCTGGCATACTTAACGGTGACTCAACAAAGTAACGGTCCACGTGTGCTCCGTTAGTTGGGCCATCAGATGCCAACTAACAGAAGGACAAACGTGGCCCTTTTTTTCAAATATTAGGGACTAAAATGAGCTTTTTTTATTGTTCGGGACTAAAATATGCTCGTGAAAATTGCCAAGGACGAAAAGGGGTATTTACTCAATATTTAAATAATGCTACAAACACATACACTATTTATTTCACATTTGTATAGTTTTCAGCACTTTATAACATAATGTAAAGAATCAATTCATCACAAAATCTTAAATGTTGGATGAATGCCTTTTTAATGATTTATATTATTTTCTAACACACCCTTCATGTAAAAGCCCTTTGGGCTTTAAACATGAATATTGCATAAGTCCGATTTTATTTTATTTTTGTTTTAAATTATGCTTATTTAATTCCACAAGTAAGGAGCGGTGAGGATCGAACTCGCGATCTTATGGTCATTTAAGCTATACCATGTAAAGATCCAATTCAACCTAAAACCTTAAAAGTTGTAACACCCCAAATTTCTAACAATTTATAAAACAATCTTATAATAAATAAATTGTCAAAATTCATTTTTTTTTTCACAATTATAATAATAGAAATATTGCGGAAGCTAATCAAAATCTAATTTGGGGAATGTTACCGCCGCACCTGTACAATAAACAGGTGCAAGGCTAAATTTATTACATTAAAATAAAACCAAAGACTAAAGTTTAAATAAAGGAAATATGTCTTATGCATTTATTTAAATCTCATAAATTTCTAAACTTAGAAACTAGCTTGAAATACTCGAGTCGTGATCCTCACTGCCCACAGCTAGCCCCAGCCTTTGCAACATGCTTCACTGAAAATCTGCTCCCCCGCAGCCGCAGGATCATTGCAGTCAAACAAACACAAAAGTCAGCAAAGCTGGTAATCCCAATCAAGATACAAAACGAGGATAATATAACCCAATATCAATCAAGACATTTATTTAAGAATAATCAACATAATCAACTCAATTAATATTTCGAATATGTCATTTATTCATAACTCAAGCAATATTCAAATATGTCATTTAATCATAATCAAGTAATAATTCAAATAAGAAATTTAATCATAAATCAAGCAATAATTCAAATAAGTCATTTAATCATAACTCAAATCAAGTATTAATATCATTATTAATCATGTTTAAGATTATTTAGTCCATTTAGTGTATAAGGGTAATTGTCAACTAACATATTTAGCACAACATTAATCATAATATTACATAAATGGTAATATTCACAATTCAATGACATTCATCATAATCAAATCAAATAACGTTTCATTATTAATCATGTTTAAGTTCATTGTACTTAGTGGGAAGAGAACCATGGTAGACCCGGGAAACCCTGCCAGTCTACCCCGTGACCCGGGAAAAAACCACTGTTACCAGCCACGTATAATCAAAATTGGCCATAATCAATTCACATCTTCCTAGTGAGTGTGCACACCTCTTCCCAAAGTTGCTACTAGTATCCCGGGAAACCCTGCCAGACACCACTTTGGAAAGAACGGATATAATCTTTTTCACATCAGTTTCACATCGGAGGCATAAAGCCCAAAAGTTGTGTTCATCACCTTGGGAGGTACCATCCCAAAGCTATCCTCCCACCATTAATTTATTACAAACACACACAATCAGGAAAGATTCAATCATAATTATTTATTCTTTAAGTATTATCATCTCTAAATGAGTTACTCAAGGGCATTATAATTTTCCAAAGTATCATAATTCAAACAACTATTATCATAAATTCTCGAATTTATATAACAATTCAAATCTTCAACATCTATCATAGTAAAATCCAAATCTGATCATCATAATAACTTTCCAATTTATTCAAGGATATGATAATTCAAATCTTCAACAGTCATCACAGTAAAATCCAAATCTGATCATTATCATAACTTTCCAATTTATTCAAGGATATGATAATTCAAATCTTCAACATTCATCACAGTAAAATCCAAATCCGATCCTCATCATAACTTTCCAATTTATTCAAGGATATAATAATTCAAATCTTCAACATTCATCATAGAAAAATCCAAATCCAATCATCGTCATTCAAATAATCTCATCACATCAATTATCATAGTTATTAATAATATAAATATTTAAATTCAATCATTAAAACACATATTTGGAAAGTTTTTCTTAAAGAGTAGTATAATTCCATAATTTTCATAATTATTCAATAAGATCCATATATTGCACATGAATTAAAAGTTTATATCATATATTGCACATAATCATAATTTCTGAAATAATAAAAATTTTCCAAAAATATTCTAATTATCATATGTAGTAATTTAAATTAAAAAAAAAAACAAATACCTATATATATATATGGAAATGTTCATACCAAACTATTAAGAACATCTACGGATTACATATAAGGATTATGCCCAAATTTTATATAATAGAGATAACCTAAACACCTAAGGATTCAGATTACATCCAAGTTTTATATAAAAGAAATAACCTACGAATAGGATTACATATACCGAAATTCATATCAATATAATCTATGACTCTCTAGGGATAAGGATTACTATTAATAAACTTCAAACAAAATTATAACCTAAGGATTAGGATTACACATATCAAACATATAACTACTTAAAGATTAGGATTACACACAATAAAAATTTCATACACAACGAATCTACAACCACCTAGAGATTAGGATTACCTGGTCTCCGCGCTAACTTCTAGAAGAAAAGAGTAATTTGGGGTAGAGAACCGGTTGATAAAAAAAAATATAAAGATTGAAAATAATTAAAATAAGCTTTTTGGAGTGAGAAGAGAGAGAGTAGTAGAGGAGAGTGAATTGGTTTGGTTAAGCTAGGTCTCTATTTATAGTTGAAGTTTAGGGCTTATACATTATTGACTCAATGTTGACTCATCATATCTAAACAATATATGTTTGTTGACTCATCATATCTAAACAATTTATGTTTATTGACTCATCATATTTAAACAATATATGTTTGTTGACTCATCATATCTAAACAATTTACTAATCAATCATTACTAATCAAACATAAATACATAAATCATCAATCAATTAATAAATCAATTAATCATAA